AGCTGGGTCAATTTAGAATGAGAAAAAGGTTGAATAATACTTGTTAAGCGTAAAATTTGGCTTGCCTGCCATTTTTGACACTAGAAGAAAGCTCTGACCAACAGAAGCACAAAGTAGAATCGCCTTTGTACCTGCTTAGCGTTTAAAAAAGCGGCTTTCGAGCAACAGGATCCTGTAACTGACGGCACAGAAGTGACCTTAATGCACATGGCATAGCAACCCATATAGGGTATGTTCGGTAGAGAGCTGGAACTAGCTTGGAGTCAAGGCTGGTGAGCGTAAAAAGATTGAACCATGAATAAGCAACTAACGACTGAAGGCTAGTCCCAGTCCCCTACAGTAAGTATGGATTATTCGGTCAAAAAATAACACAGAAACGACGTGAATGCAACACGTGACTATGAGAATGTCATCGTCATTTACCTCGTCTATATTCAGTGACTGCTGGCTTCATTAACGCCAGGCTCGGTTACATTGAGAGCGTATCTATGCCACTTGATCAGCGACCAAAACTGCACTTTCCCCATTTTGCCTGATGCACTTTTTGACCGTGTCCATGGCTATTTTCAGTCTTCTATCGATAGCTTTAAATTGAGGTTCTGAGAGAACTGGCGCCACAGGATCATCTTTAGTCGCTTGCCGCAAAAGTTCACTTAAAGGAGTCCTCTCTCTGCTTAACGATAAAAAGCGATTCCATGTTGACTTTCGAACTCTGTAAGACAAAAACAGTCACGTTGACACCTAATTAATAGTAATTACTCCTGCGCTAGCTAAGGGTTGACAATTCGTGAGGTTGTCCTTACTTCTACGAAAATGGTTACTCCTTCCCTTTATACTGCGCAAGAGATTTTGACAAGAAATTCACTTTGGTCGAGTCTCCTTCCATTCCGTTCACGTCTTTTTACCCGTAACGTACAAAAACGTGTGTCCTACAATCAGAAGCTTATGATTCATAAATTCCTCAGAGATGGTCATGACGGGCGACGATTAAGACATTCAAGAGATTGGTACCCATTAAATTGAGTGGTCCTTTTTCGAATTAAAAATTACCGCTGAATACAAACACATATGAAACACCGTTACTATGTTAGCCTTGACCCAAAGCAAAATATTCACAAATAGCAGCAGAAAGGTGTCTGAAATTTGAAAATGAAAAATAAACAAGTCATTGTATCGCCAGGATTTGTGAGTATCTCCACTTCAGATAACATGCTAGCCCTGAAAATGCGCATTCGCTGTTTTTACTCAGCGAGTCATAGCGAACTCATAAACTGGACTAAAATCGAAGCCCTCGTAAGTTACCATCTCGGAAATCCGAAGAAGCGGTCGTAACTGGAGCTGGTCGTTTAGAGAGCTTTAGAAACTCATTAATAATTCATAGAGAGGAAAAAAAGAAATTATTTAAAATGTTTAATAAGTGTCTTTATATCTGATAAAAACACCCCAGCGTAATGTACGGTAAAAAATGACCTAACGATGAAAAGTTAGATAAGAATTAATACAAGCAGTGCTTAAAGCCAGCCTGACTATTTTCTTGAACAAAGGTCCATCAGCTTTAAACTATTCTTTACAAACTGCAACGAAATAATCTAAAATAAATGTCAAAACGTTTTTATTGGCTTACTTGCAACATTGGTACACTGGAGCAAGAATAGACATTTCATCGTGATAAGGGTTACCAAAGCTAGAGGAAAAAGAATGTTAATTCATCACACGACGTCAAAATAGTACCGCAAAGGGAAATTGTTTTTTTCTTTGAAAAACAACAACTCTAATGCGACTCTCATGTGAGGAGGTGAACAGGCGACGACATTTTTCCTTCCTCGCTTGAACTTGGACTGTGGCCCTTAACAATTTGTCATAAAATATACAGGGGCGTAGCGCGAGGTTTTGAAGTTGTACGCACGGAAAGAAAGGTTGCACCCTCGAAGGTATTGCAAACTAGGGGGATCTGGGGGGCATGCTCCTCCGGAAAATTTTTCAAATTTAGAGGCTCAGAAATGCCATTTCCGGCGTTTTCCGCAGGGCATTTTCAGTAAAGAAAAATGGCTAATGCAATAATTAGTTGTTTAATTTTCATCTCTAGTGCTATCGGTAAGGTGCAACGTTTACGGTAAAAACGGTAAAACAGAGACGCCATCAATGAGGTTGAAAGCAAAGGGCGAGAAGTCTGCCCTTCAAACGGGTAAAGACACCAATGGACGCTATGCCCCTGTATAATATATGAACGGATGGATTGACTTAAGACTGACTAAGGACTGTTTAATAGAAACCAATAGTTACCTCTTTGCATTATCAAGGTGTAACAGCATTCCGCTATCCCCTTCATCTCTAAAGGTCTCATAATGATGTCTGTCTCCATTCCCTAGGGAGGGGTGATAGAGGAATGTTTACTCTAAATTGCTTTATTTACCTAACAACTTGCCTACTATAATTCAACCAGCCTCGAAACTGATTATACACCCCTCGTCCTTAGAAAAAATGCCCGTCAAAGATACGGCAATCTAGCTGCTAATTTAATTTCCCAATTGCAAGTACCGCATAATTAATTCCCCGTATTGCAATTATCAACTAAAGAAGTTCTACTGCTCAGTCTGTGAGGTACGTTGAAGCAAACGTTAACTTTGCTAACAAGTCACCTGTAGAAGCTGTTTTGAAATACAAGTTGCCAGCCTTAATCGTTGGATTTTCTGTAGTCACTGCAAAGGCTCAAAGCTAGCGGTCGTACTGAACTTCCCCTTTACTTTCTCGATTTCGCCTGATGCCTTTTTGAGCTTCTACACCAGGCGAGCGGTTCAAGGGTAACACAAAAATAACAAAACCTACAAACCTATTAAAAAATCAAACAGTGCTGTGTCCATAATATCAAGAAGCCGCGGCCCAGAATTGTATGGTGGAGTTCTTAGCACCTTTTTCTTGCAATATGTGTTGTCCATCTCCCATCTAAACAAACAAACAAAAAATGCATTGAAACACTTTATTTACAACCATCTCTCAAGTTACAATACACGAGCTACGTTGCGTCGTTCGCTAACTTCCCATGGATTCCCGACCCAGGTAGTGTGTCCTAATTCTTGTCAGTAGAACTTGGATTCCGGATTCTTATCTTTAGTGGTATACCGGACTCCTGGGGCAGTATTCAGGAATTCTAGGACCAAGGATTCCGGATTCCACAAGCCAAAATTTCCCAGTTTCGGGGATCCGGATTTCCCTACACGGGTAGCCTGTGAACAGGCCTTTGGTCGAACGGGGAACTTTCCTTGCTATTTTTTTCCCCAAACCGAGAGAGCCTGTTCACAGGCTACTACACCGGGCGATATAGGACTTTCAAAACTGTTCAGAAAACGGCCAGTGAAGGCTGGGGTTACCAAATGTTTTTCCAGGAGAGGCTATAATATATCAACAATGCGAGGTATTTTACAAAATCCTTGCAATCCAAGGGGATTTTCTTATTTCTCTCACTGCCAAAAATACTCGTTATAAAACATACCTTTCATGACCAAAAGCAGGACTTTCTAAAATTATGTATATTATTTACTTTTTATTTTATTTTATTTATTTATTTGTTGAAGTTTAATTTTTGTTGATTGCCACGCGTATATTGTCTGTGGGTATCAAATGAAACCCTCATTAAAAAAAAGTATCTATCCATAATGGACCAGAAATGTTAGTTTTTTTCTGAAGGGACGGAATTTGACAAAATTTGGCTTTTTTAAGTTGGTTAAATGTTTTGTAGTTCACAATTCACTGCTTGTTCTAAACATTTACGATTTTTATCGGCATATAAAATATAAGTATCATCACCGAAAAGATAACCGTTGCGATTATTTGAGCAGCTGCAAATATCATGAAAGACTCATGAATATACACTATAAAGCAAAGCTACGCAACGGGCCTAATACAGATCTGAAAACCGCAAGTTGTTACGACTCTTTCAGATATATAAGAACAACTTTGTGTCGTTTGTGTTCGGTCTTGCAGATAAGACAAGAACCATTTGGTTATCATTTCACGAAACCCATAATAGTTAAGTTTGTCAAGAAAGATTGTATCGAAAACTTTTTTTAGGCGTATACCTTGTAGACGCGACACGAATATAGGCGTGTTTCCATATTTGTTTGAATAGCATTTACGATGTCAATACAATTGCGTGTTGAGTATTGAGATGGGTTTAATATCTCTTTTCTGTTTGCGAAAGATTTCATTTTTTGGAAAACATTTCTGTTGAAGTTATACCGTAAAGAAGTTGACAGGTAGTCATTTGGTTTGTCTTTTCTTCGCAGTGCTTTTAAAATGAGTATGATTTTGCACACTTTGATATTGGTGCGGGATAGGAGTACTGCAGGCCATGTAAATTATAATTTGGAATACCGGTATATAACATTTCTAACCGAATTTCACTTAACACGATAGGTTAAAAGACGAAATTAAAAGAGGAGTCGGATGGTTTAGCATTGCTAAGGAAATCGGTGAAGCAAGTCCGTGCTGAGGGTCTAGCTCTTGCTAATCTTTGCTCTACTGCTGTAAAGTGGTCATTGAGGATATTAGGTCATGGTCAGGGTCAGGTCATGACTGACTTAGTTTTTGTAATCCGACCTTATTAGCACTGTAATTAATTGATTTAGACTTTTTCGTTTTAACGATTTCATAATTTATGTATTCCTTTCCAAGTCTTTTCATGTTGTTTCCATTCCCGTTGAAGTACTGATCAGAAAGAAAAACAGTTTTTTCTCATACAAAGTGTTGAGCTGCAGATATTATTTCTGTAAAAATTATATTTGGTGTCATCGCCAGATAGATGTAGCCTTTTTAAACTTTAATCAAAGTTATTTAAGTTCTGATTGCTATAATTATCTCAGTTTTTTTTAGCTCCGCGTTGCTGTATAGAAACCGGTTTCCATAGGTACATGCTTGTTCAACAATTTTGTTGAACTCCTTGTAAAGAGAGGACAACATCTTATCAATTTCATCAAATGCATCATTGTAAGGAATGTTAACTCCACTCAATTTGGGAGAGGTCACAATTAAAATGGTCCGCGAAAAATCGCGGACATTATTTTTATGAATCTTCGTAGGTCTTTCCCAAGTTTCCACTAATTTTGACTCGTACAGAATTGTTAACAAAAATGTTGTCGACAAGAATGACCGAGGTATTATGAACGTCATTTGGTTTATCAATAGTAAGGAATGAGATATAAACAGCTTTAGAGAGAAACTATTAAGAAATCGTAATAATATCCCATAATGTGAGAGCTATTGCACTTTCCAGATGAAGTTAATTTCTCTATAGTTTCTTCAAAATAACTTTGGAATTGTGTTGTCTATAAGTCGACACCAAATATTCCATTTTTCTTAAAAATAAAAGAAATTTCAATCCAGAAGGCTTGGAATGCTAAATGAGAAGAGAGGTTTAATTCTATGTCTATATAAATCAATATTTGATCAATAAACATTCCAGTATCTCCGGAGCCAAGAGGAGTGGGAAATTATTCAAATTCATAGCCTGGTATTATGGGGCTGCAAGAAGAGCATCCCATAATATTGAAATGGAAATCAATTTCATCCAAAACGTTTTACTTATGCTATGAATATAGAAGATTGAACAGCTGCAATCAATTTCATCTGTCCTCAAATTGTTTTTCATTCCTTGAAAATTAAAAGGGGAAAAATATTATTATGAATACACTGATTCGATAGATTATTATTATTTTTTGTTTAGTTCTTCATCTCATCCTGTGTTTAACTGATCGAATTCATGCAAACGGAATAATTTATCTGAGGATTTTTTGGTTTGGCAAAATTAATGTTAATGCAGTAGCTATTTTGTTAGGGCGAAGGGATAAATTTCCAGAATGTGCATGCCCATGAGTAGAGAAAAGGAGAGGAGGCCTCCTCTCCCCTTTGTGTATTCCCCTTGTGCACCATATAAAACCCAAGCAAAAAAAATTAACCAGCACCTGCCACAGAAAATAGGGCAATTCTTGCAAGGTATCGTTCAGGTATCACCTCAACAAAAGCCTTTCTTTGTGCTGAGTTACTCACACAAACAATTGTGATAAATAAAGGATATTGATCAAGGGTATTCAATGGTCATCACTTTGATTAGTCAGATAGGCCTTTTGATTCCCTCAGCCTCAAGATGACCAGTTATAGTGGAATGACCCCCGGACATCCCATGTGCTTATCTACACAAAATGTGACATTAAGATGACTAAATTGGCATTTTGTGGGTGATACACACACAGACTTAAATGGTCAATAAATAAAACCACCAGTCAGGTTGTTCAAAACTGGGTTATGATATATAGTACCCAAGGTTAGTGCAAAATTTAAAGCAAATGCAGTGTATTTCTTTTATTAATAATTTGATGATTGGATGCTCTAAAAAGAAAAGAGAAATTATCTGAAAATATAAATCTGAACAAAGGAAAAAGAAAGGGCCTTCAAACAACTGGGCCCTGTCTTTTAAGTAATTATTCACCAACAAACATTGAGCCACCTCTGGGAAGTAAATTTCTCTTATCATTTCAAACAGATTGACTTTAAACTGAACATGTATCAACACAGATTGTCCCACCAATGAAAAGATTACAAACTTAAACAGAGCTAATGTAAATATAAGAAGTCCTACTTACAATGCCTTTCTATCATCTCGGTATGTCCTCTGCCACGGATGTCTCCAGTTCTTGAGGGGCCATCCTGCTGGAAGCCACAGCGTCACAGAGCCTTCCATGACTGTACCATTGGCACATGCAGCTTCAGCTTTCTTACAGTAATAACATACCCCATAGAAGCAAGTGTTTTTACCTACAAACATTTAACACTCCATTTAATTCAGATGTCTGGTCAACATAACACACTATTTATGCAATAATTTTTCATGCCTTCCTTGAAGAAGGTATCCATAAGTCTCTTCTCTCCAATCGGTTCTATCTCTTCTTCTAAGTTGACCCTTCTTCCAGCTACGGGGGGAGCTCTGTAGAATCCTAAAATTCTGCAAAAAACATTTCCTTACATGAATACCCTGATATCAAAAGCAGACGAGAACTGTTTAGTGATAAGAAAGTTACCAGCAACCCACATAGCCTGTGTCGCAGATGCAATCTAACACCAGTTAATAACACCTGTGAAGCAGCACCAAGATCCTTGTTCTGGGCCCCTAACAGACTCAACAAATCACTGGAAGTGCATATCATTTTTCCCTTTCACCAGATTGGCAAACCAGAAATGGGATTTTTAACAGGCCAATCATGGTGTGTACTTATAAACACTGGTAAAGAGGTAGGGGGTTTAGAACAAGGATTTCTGAGTTCTTTGCACTGCAATGACAGCTCAAAGTCCAAAAGTTAGCACAGGAATTGATGTGACAGGAGGGTTGAAAAATGGAAATTTTGAAACTTTTCCACATTGATTTTCTAGTTGAAAAGCAAATTGTCAATCCGAGATTTGGAGATTTTGGATTTGGATTTGGCCATTTAAGAAATTAAATAATTTAGATGTAGATGTAGTAGTAGTAGATGGAGGGTTAACAACAAAACAGGAAAAATATTTGACTTTTGGTGCACTGGATTATTAGATAGATCTACTTTGCTCTGCAAAATTAGTTACATAGCCTGAAGGTAAAAAATGGACTTCTTAATGCCTGGGGGAGCTCCAACACAAATTTTCGGGGCATTCCTACCCAATGCACTGGCACTGCTTGGCATTGTGCATGAAGAAATAAAGAAAGCAGATCAGGTTTCATATTCCAGTTTCATATTCCAGTACCTGTCTAAATGGAATGCTGCTATTTCTCCATTGTGTCTGTCAAAACCTTTGTATGGAGGCCCTTCTATTACATAATCTCTAGAATACCTGTTGAAAACAATATTGTGTTGGTTGGTTATCCTTTTAACACTAACACAAGTACAATGATTTGTATGGTAAAAAATGATTGTTTCTGTAACCCACAAACATAATGGAGATTTTCTTAAAAAAGTAATGAAAACATAAAAGATATATAAGGGACTGTGATCTTCTTTCCTGTATGGTCCCAAAGTTGGTCTGTGGAATCCTCATTTTTTTGAAGGCTAAGGTCCGGTTCAGACGCCGAACTTTTCATGAGCCGAACCTAATTTGAATTAAGGCCAACCCAGATTATTTAGACCGGTTGAATTGATTCAGACGCCGATCTTAATTCCAGCCAAACTAAATTCAAAAGGAAAAAAATGCTCATTTTGGTCAAACTTCTTACAAAATATGTTATAATAATTTATGCATTAGGTTTGGTATATGAAAAGTTGGGCATCTGAATCAAAGCCGTTCTAAAGTCGCTCCAAAGGTGAAATTCCTGGCCAGGCTGGGTGAAAAGAACAGCTGAGCAATTCCAAATTGAAATAGGCGTTTCTAATTGATTCAGACGCCAAACTTTTCATGTACTTAATTCAACGTATTAGGTTTGGCTCACGAAAAGATCGGCGTCTGAACCGGGCCTAACACCACAGTGCCAACACTCATATTTTGAGCTTGGGTAAGTGATTTGTAGAGGACATTTTTTTGTAGCTGAACACTATTTCAAGCACTTATGGTAAAACTATAAGAACTTTGAATAGAGCAGACTCACCGCATAGGCTTGAAGACAACCCTCTGATTTCCTTCAAGGATTAAGGAAGCCTTTAATTGTGTTCCCCCATGCCCCACCCCGGCTGCCACTATGGGTTTGTAAATCATTGCCTCTAATATCATATTTATCGAGTCACTATCATTATTTGAGGTGATTTGACGAGATTTCACCATGTCTTTCCATATAGTCCACGGATCATCGTATTCATAATCTACGTCATTAATAGCGTCCTGTCGCTTTAATTTCTTTCCTTGTTCGGCGTCCACGTCGCCTACATACTTTTCCTCTCTGTTCTCCAAAGATATAGATACGCTTGGCTTTACATGATCTTTTCTTTCTGAACGCGACATAAGCATTTGCTCGTTCGATCGCTGTTTTCGATGTGTATGATCCACTCTATTAAAGTCCATTTCGTCCATAAGAGATTGTGTATCGCTTACAGAGAGAATAAGCGGGTGTTTATTCTCATCCGAGATCTGCCATCGCAGCCATAGAAAAGGCACAACAAGACAAACTAAACACATACAAAACGCGAATCGTTCTTTAAACTTCATAGTCCCAAAATACGCTCGATAAAACACGGAAAGAGGCCAGATTTCCACCATATTAACGGGACCCCATCATCGTATCCACTGTTCTTTTATCCTCTACTACTGTTTTTACCAGGCGTTGTAAGTTATTTATGAATTTACGTGTATGAGCCCGCGCGCAATTATCCGTGTTAGGGATGATGGGGACAGTCGATGATGGGGCAGAACTTTTAGGTACTGATCTCCTTCCTTCTATGGTCCAATCAGAGGAATAATAGAAGTAAATATTAAACATATCCTTTCTTGTAAAAAGACGTTTTCAGTAAATTTATAAACAGAAAATCTAAATTAAAAGGGGTTGTAACTTATTACGTGTAGGGAAATTTAAAAACCTTTCTACGATTTTACAGCTTGCAGATGCTTGCACCTATGTTTTTTTAACTGAAACTTTCCTGTCATTACGAATTAGTATAAGCCAAAAGTTTTTGAAGTTTCAGAAGTAGGCAAAATGTTAGTTGTGTCTCTTGCCCTAAAATTGCCGTTGTAGGAGTCTGTTCCCTACCTGGCCCGCCGCCCCCAGGCGTGTTAAAGTTGGTCACTTGTCGCGTGTATTAATATGGGTACGGGTAAGGTTAAGGTTAAGGGTACGGGTCAATACAAGACAGGATGCAAGTCAACATCATGAGTAGTAAGAATTTGTCGCATTTAAATTTCACTCCACCCCCAAAAGCGCCCCCCCCCCTTCCCCCCAGCCCCCGCACGAACTTCTTGACTGCATTTTTCTGACCAGCGGTTGCCTCTAAGAGGAGAAATATGGCGGACAAAGTAGAAAACATCGAAGAGTGTATTTCGACAGCAAGTAATTTAAGATCGACCGTCAACAGAGTGTTTCAGGATCTTGCCTCTGATTCTAATGTAGCGAGTCAATCGACTAGTGACGCGACTGATCTTTCAGCTGCGGGCAAAGGAGCGAAAATCACTCAAACATTGAAGAAAAATCTTGTTAGAGTGCACAAAGTTTTGAGGTAGGTAGTAGACACATTGAAAGTTTGGCTCACAGAACGCTCATAGATTAAAATTCTGGTCAATTTTTTGGTACGGTTTTTCCTTACACCTATTGTCGTTCAGCAATGTCTTATTATTTTACACAATTTTGGTATATGCTGGTGCAGCATATTATTTTATGATATACCAAGTAAATAGCAAGTCTCAAGTGACGTCACAAAGATCACAACAATGATCCTTAGCCCTTACACAATAACCTAATAAAATTCACACAATAGAATGACACAGTAGTGCATATTTTGACTTGCTATATCGAGCATCATCCTAAGGGACGGACCAGTAAAAAAGTTATGGGGGGGAGGGGAAGTTTCAAGCCGCAGGAATTTTTTTCGATATCAAATTCCTTGTATGAATCTTTTTTAGGCCGTAGCATGAATATTTTTTAGGATTAATTAGCTTGCAAGAATTTTTTTTTCATTTAATTTTCCCTTGCGCGAATTTTTTTTTTGTACTTCGCCCACCCCCCCACCCCCCATAAGTTTTCTAGTGGTCTGTTCATAATTTATATTGACCTTACAATACGAGCCCTGCATTATATAGTTGCTCCATAGACCTATTCGGCCAAGGGGGTGTTAACATGAGAAAACTTGCACCAGTGCGAGTTTCATACTGGGATGACTTTTTTATTTCGTACAGTATGTTGCCCAGTATCCGGATGGTACCAGTATCCGGACACTTGAAACAAAAGCTCAATTTTTGAGGCGCCCTTTTCAGTTCTCAGTAAACAAAGTATTTCAAATGAAAGCTGAACATTTCAGCTTTAAGATGAAAGTTTTGGCGATTTGAAAGCTTGCGAAACAGTCGCAGAAGACGCCCTTCTGTTCAGGTGAATAAAGTTTTCATGGCTAATATTTACGTTGTTTACTGCCCAGTAAAGTTAGTGCTGGTCAGAAAAGGCAGGGTAGTGTGTGATGTTTTCAAAGAAACTGTTTTATTTTTAACGTGAAGATACTTAAGGAAGTCAGGTTTTCAGAAAGTTTATTAATTCTTCTTGAAATTCGATTTGTTTGGAATAACGGAAGCCAGAAACATTCACTAAGTTTTGATGTCATGTGCCCAGTATCTGGACAGGTTTTTTTTTGCTGTACAGAATCAATGAATTAGCTGTGTACATTCTCCGGATAAGATTTATTTCATATCAGTGACTATAATCAAAGCTTAGGATATATGATAAAGTCGTAAAATGTAACTCTACTCAACTCCGTATGGAAATTTTCTTGACTCATTCAGAGGCGACTTGATTTCCTGTGCACCGCTTGTTTCGCGTGACTGCATTTTCTATATATAACTGAAAGCGTCCGAGTTGAACCTGGAATTCTCATACTTTCCCCAGTTGGGACTGCTAGAATGGGGTTGCAATGGTCTAAAAAATGTCACAAAGGGATGTCACAAAGGGATTGAGAGATGTGAAAGAAGGAGGAATTAGTGCTAGAAAAGCAGGCTTATTGTGGGGACTGAGCATGAAGAAATCAACACTGCAGGTCAGACTAAATAGGAGAGTGACCTTTGACCGTCCAGTTGAGGTCCCTTCCCCAAGCTTTTCTTTAAATAAAAAATGAAGAAAGAAAGTCGTTTGCAGATTGGCTAATTGAGCTTGCAAACAAAGAAGTGAGAAATTATACCATTTTTAAAACAGCCGCTCGTGTTCCCCACCATACCCCAGTCATTTGTTATGTTCTATTTCACGATGCTAAGTTATATTTTCGGAATCGATTGCCAGACTACTTTGCAAGTGCAAGAGAAGCTTATAAGTTGCTTGCCTGTCGAAATTTATGTACAATTACGTTGTTATTGTTGTGTCCAGATACTGGGCCAGCTGTCCGGATACTGGGCAACATAGGAGCTCTGCAAAAATATTAATTTAGTGATGGAAACAAACTGAAGTGTCCGGATACTGGGCAACATACTGTATCGTGTTTACATGATGACTGGGTCATTTCATATCTTGTTATTTGAAGGTACACTTCATGTTGATAAAATACACGCATGCGCTACCCGTTACAGTCTACCGGCAGACCGATTTCACACCGAAACGTGTAGTCGTTTCGCATTTACATGATACCATTGCGAGATTTCGTACTGGAGTGAAATTCTTGCACCGGTACAACAACTGGGGTGAACTCACACCGGGGTGACTCGCGCCGGCATGACTTTTGTGGTGGTATCATGTAAACAAATGTAGAGCCATGAGAGGGAACCGGTGTGAACTCACTCTGGTACGAAAGTTGCCCCGGTGTCATGTAAACAGCCCCTCACTCAACGTTATACCCAATTCAAAATCTTTGGGAATAAAACGTTTTGTTTCAGGAATTTCCTTATCATTTAAATGTGAATGCCTCATTGTAATGCAAATATGAGACACAAAGAATCTTAACCCTGGGAGATTTGAATTGGGTATAACATGGAGTTTAATAGCCAAATAGGTCTATTGACATAGCTGTAGATTACAAGGTCAATGTTCTAGGTATATTGGGTGGGGCAGCTCAGCAGCATGGCAGTCCTGAATTATTTTGATAAATAGTAAAACCAGTTACTACTGAATAGATTCGAAACATTTTTGCATAATAGATGTTTGGTGCTGAGTACAAATCTTACATGAACCATGTTCATTTGTGGGGGTGTGGTGGCCAAGCAGATATGAAAGTCTGGGTCCAAGCCTTGCTGTCATAGTGTTTCCTTAAGCTAAGTAACTTTGCTCCACATTTTCTCTCTTCAGTATAAATGTGTACCTGCAACATACTGTTGGGGGTAACCCTGTGATCGACTGGCATCCCATCCGTGTGGTAGTACAAAGTAGAAATACTCCTAGACGCCTCAAGCTATAAAAAACTAGCATAAGCTCCCCCTTTTTTCCCTCACATGCAGACTTATCCATTCTTCTTTTTCTTTACACTGGATCCTTCCTATTTTTGTCTGTTTTGTAGTTTTGCATCAGTCAAATTCAACTGGTCTGTTACTGATTTGTTACAGTTTCTCTTTCCAAACAGTGAGTTGGACAAAGCAAGTGATGCACTGGCTTCCTCAGAAAACCGCTCCCAATCTCTGGGGAATACCGGCTTATTGAGCCTGGACCCTGTGGAAGACAGAACTGCCCTCTATGACAAGCTTCTAGAAACCTACGACTGGCATGAAAAGGTACCTTATGATTTATAACTAAGATTAAGGTGATTAACACATTTTTATCAAAAATGTACCTGATAACTTAAGGAATTACTGTAAGTTCTTAACACATGTTATGTCATGCTTAAAAAATGTTTGCAGATTAAGGTTTTGTTCTTTTACATAAAGGTTATTTTTCAACCAAGCACAACTTCAGTAATTTTCAGAAACCAAACTGGAGAGTAGATAGAAAGATAAGGATATGGGGAGAATTGTTGTACTGTTGTTGAGCCTTGGCCAATCACTGAGGAACCAGTGAATTCCATGATGATGTTGTTTGATGACAACTACATGTACCAGGATTAATTTTGTTTTTGCCCTCTTATTCAAATTAGTAATTAATCCTAGCAAAGTCCACTTACATGTACTTTTATCAGTAAAGTAGTAAAAAGGGCTCTAACATACTCAAGGAAACAAACATTGGGGGATTATCAAGTAGTTTTTGTCAAAAAAACTCATTGTGAAAAGGCCTTGTTTTAACAAAACCATGCTCTAGGTCATTTTCAATTTGCCCAACAAACATCATTTATTGTGAACAGTTTCATGAAAGTATATAGAGAAGACTGGAAAAGCATTTATCTTCTTAAAACAACCCACCAAAGAAGAGATCTGGAGGTTCAAGGATTCTTTAATTCGTTGCCCTATATGTTTAGTAAATTATATATTCTGATATTAAGCAAGCAGCAAATTTAACCTCTATTTAAGGTTGGTTTTGACCAAAGTTCAGATTCCACTTTCAAAATGATGGCTTTCTTTTTCCAACTGCAGAAGTTGTGTCTTAAACCCCAAGAGTGCATGGATCTTCTTTGCATTTATTTCTTCATCCCTCAGTTCCAATATGTGAAATTCGTATGTTCATTGTTTCATATATAATGTTTTCATCAGTTGACTTCAGGGGCACAGCAGGCTTTATCATGCCTAAAACGACATCATCCTTCAGCAGTTCAAAGCTCAGATGGAGCCTCAGCAGCAAAGAAAGCCAAGGTCACTTTAAAAAGGTAAGGAATGTGCTGAAATACATGTTTTTCACTAGAATGTCATAAATAATTGCCACATACCAAGGCTTGAAATGCATTTAGCTAAAGGTTATGCAAAATTTTAATGTTCAACAGCACCACCATTATTGTGATGCATGAAAATAATGATGCGTTTTTTTATTCATTCACCTTTCATTAGCGAAACATTAAATGCCTTAAAAGAATTCAAGACCTTGTATCCTCAGTTAGAGTTTTCATGTTCTACAACCAATAGCTGGGGAGTTTATGTTTTTGAGGTTAGTGTGATTTTTGTATTTATTAAAAGTTGAGATTAAGCGCAGTTAGTTTGCATATTGAATTGCAAAAATATCAGTAATACTATGAGGAAGATTATTGCTTACTTTAAGGATTTGCTCTATATTAACTTTGATGGTTCCCTTAAATTTTTTTTATGAGGTAGTTATTCAGTAATTAAGTCCCATCTTTGGGAAACATTTCTAGTTCTTTGCACACACAGCGTACCAGTGAAAGTATGATTCTAAACACATTGTTGTAATAATAAGAACTTATTCATTCTTGATGGAGAGTTCTTTGCCAATGCCAGTTTACCAATTTACGTGTACGTTTACAGTGTGTATAGGTGTTGTTACCGAAAAGTTTTCTTACTGTGGAATTTTCGCTGGCAATACCATATTCCAAACCCTGAAACCTACAAGAAATCACTATCAAAACCATAATCAACATCATAAACAATTCCATAACCGTTATTGTAATAAGGATCTCAACGCATTTAACTGTTTTCATAATTATTCATAATCTTAATCGTGGTAACTGTATAATCATAATCGTAATCATAATGGTAATGCTAATCATCATAGTCATCATCATCATCATGCTTGTAATCATCATCAGAAACATACTTATTATATCCATTTTGAAATCACTAGTGATCCCTGCAGTCTGATTGGTTCTCAACAGTGTGATTTATTCACAAATCACACTAATTTTTGCTCTAAAACACATCTGTTCTAAATCGCATCATTGATCTGTTTTAAAATCGCACCATTTTTTTTACTCAATATGGTATCATTTCTGTTTCGAATACAAAATGTGATGTAAAAGCGTTTTTGCCCGCTTTTCAACAAACCGGGAACTTGATCAATAAAATAAAAAATACTGAATGAATTTTGCGATTGCAATATGGCTGTAATAAAGTGGTAATTATAAGTGGTCAGTGGAGTAAGTTTCTGACCCTTTTAAGTAAAGGTCTTAGCTTTCAGGAATTGACAAGTGGAAAACGGAACTAAAGTGACCCTTGAACTCAGTTCTGTGAATTTCTACGTCAGGTGGTCGTTCCAAAGACGTTCAAGGCGATAATCTCCATGCCGCCGAGAATGACAGAGATCGACCGGCTTGTCATCCGGGGACTACAGGAGAACCCTTTACTGGAAAAGGAGGTTTGTGTTTTTATATTAATTTACCAAATTGGCGGCTTCAAAACTAACTTATCTTTTTCCTACTTTGTCCTTCTAGTACAAAGACGCGATTAAAATTGTTGTCCGTATTGCTGCTGGTGGTTTGCACGCGACGTCATGACAGACATGTTGGCGGTCAAGAACTAAAACATTTCTATCCTTTGGGAACCAAAGTCCATTTTCATGCAAATTCTTTGAAATAATTTTTATTTTATTGACCACCAACATGGCCGCCATGGTTGCAAACCGAGACTAAACTGGAAAAAGCGCCGCACGTACATGTAAGAGCAAAATATTTATAAGTACGGTAGATCCCCGAAGGCAGAATCTTCCCGCAATTATGCCGGGAGATGCTAACTTGGATGGTGTTGTCATTGCTGTTTGTGTTATAACTGTGGATCATTTTTACTCGCGTAGTCAGCAGCTATGCACATTTCGGATCATTATACGTTTATGAGAAACTGCCCACCTACCCTTCCCCTAAGCTAACATTTTGCCCTAAGTGGGAAGTAAGTGTTAATGTTGGCTCAGGGGCGGGGTTGGTGGGCAGTTTCCCAGAAACGTATAATGATCAGACTTGGAGCAAAAGAAAGTTTTTGATGAGAAAAGAGTTCAATCCACTCAAGTTTTCTTTAATACACCAACATGGCCGCCGTTTCATTGTTTTGCACACGAATGTGGCCACCGTGACGTCATATAAAAACGATCAATCTATTTGGATCTGGCGGGGAACAGAAGCTTTAATAGGACAACTGCACGATGACGTCATTTTACTACAACCACCAGAATCCTCGAGTTTGTTGTTTTCTTGTGCAAATTAAGGTTATTGCTCTTTAATCCTCAGCAGGATTGACAAATTTTTATAACAAAGCAAAACCGAAATGAATTCTGGTAGTTGTAGTGAAATATCGTCATCGTGTCATTGTCCTATTCTATCATATTCTTACTATGTTAGTGTTATCGTCTTCGAACAAAACAAAGAAGAAGTAGTACTGTGTTGTTTTCAAATGAGAGGTTGTAAATAGTCACGATGCTGCAGTAAGAAAATTTAAAAAGCGCCTCGGCACTTTTTCGAGTAAATAATTTTTATAATACTGTTTATTAATTCTTAGTTTTATTTTTTTGATGGGTGTATGCTCACGAAGATGTTCTTTTTAGCGTCGTAAACAAGCCATAAGCGGAGGAATTACTTTGGCCAATCGAATGCGATTTAGCATAATTATCCGATTAACCAAACAAAACGCGAACCCAGTGTGTTCTTTCGTGTCGTTAATGGTTTAGTTTTACCTTTTTATGTTTTGATTTATTATTGCAGGAACTTTGGTCTCAGTCACGCTATGCTGTTTTTAGAAAGGTATTTAGCAAACTCTAAAGATTTCAAGAGCGGATCCAGGAATTTTGACAAAGAGTCCAAACTTATTTCAAGTTTGAAAATGTTTGGCCTTGTTAACAAACTCTACTTTCCCCGGCCGTTTACATGTTTCCTAGAAAACTGCATTTGACGCAAAAACAAGCTTGAAAGTAAGACATTATACAGCTCCAAATGAATGAGTAATAATAAATAATAATAGTCTTTATTCAGTCAAAGGATAAAAATACATATCCTAAGTTACAGTGAAAATGTATTAAAAGATACACGATAAAATACAATAGTAATAGAAGATAGAATAATACTATACTAACTTATATTTA